TGAGGCTTTGAGTCCTACTTGTTCTTGTCACCTTGAGCAAGTTGCTTAACCCCCAAGAACATTTTCTTATCTGCGACTAGAGGTGAAGATAATTCTCACAAGGCTGTAGCAGGCTTCAGTGACCAGACCTGTTGACCGATACCCCCAGCCCCTGTCATACCGGCTGAGGAAGCTGCATAGGCTGTGGTGGAGGGCCGTGACGGGCAGGGCTTCATGGAGGAGACATGGGCTGAGGGGACAGAATGAATGGAGTCTTGTGCTCCGCCCTGGCCTGGCTCTTGGGTCCAGCCGGGGCCTCGGGGCTCTTCTGGATCCTGAGCCGCTTTGCCCTTTCCAGGCAGTCTCTGCCCGCTGTGGGAGTGCTCACCCATTGGGCCGCGCCTGGAGCGTGAGGTGGACATAATTGGGAGTGGTGCAGGTGTGGGACCAGGGATTATGCCGCCCTCAGATTTAGATTTGGGGGTCGCAGTGGATGTTCCGTATCCTCCGTGACACTGGTCGGATACGCTTGGAAGCTGCGTGCTGGCTGTGCTCTTCCTGGCATGACTTGTCGTGCCTGGCAGAGGTGCTTTCTCTCAGCTGTCTCAGTGCCAGCGGAGGGTGCCTGTCTTGCTCGTGCTTCTGGGTAGGTATTCCTTTGTGGAAGCAGCCCTCTCCATTTAGTTCTTTGGGGTGTGCCGGCCAGGAGCGTCTCCGTCCCCTAGGCCTCATGCTGAAGTGTCTTTCTGAGGAAGTGAGGGACGGTCACCAGGGAGGGGTGGGATGAGAAAGTCCTGGAGAGCCGAGCCGCAGTCTGCGTCAGGGAAGCTTCCCCGCCCCGCCCTTTACCCTTTTCACCAGGCCTCTTGGTTGGCCGTGAGGCAGGAAGAATTCCAGTCCAGGTGCCCGCAGTCGCCTCCAGGAGGGCTCGTTCCTGCCTCAGGGATCAAGCATTGAGTGGGAGAAGGGTGAGAAGTATCACGTGGCCTGGTGGGATAGGCTGTGGTCTCCGATGAAGGACTGCCAGCCTGGTGTCCAGAGGGGGACCCCAAGGAGGCCCAGTGACCAAAGCAGTTCAGAGTGAGCGGCCTGTGAAGTCCAGGTTCAGGGCAAGGTTGGTGTCCAGGCCGAGGCGGGGCAGCACCTGTGGGAATGGAGTTGTTCTCTCCATGAGCAGGGATCGCGTTCCTCTTCTTTCATGGCCTTGGAGAGACGCTGAGCCACAGCATGTTCTCCTGCCCATTGGACAGAGAAGCCCGGAAGTAGCCTGGCCCAGCCCCTGAGGCCGCATGCACTGGCAGAGCTAGACATTGAGGCAGGCAGGGGATCTTGGTCCCCTGGGATCAGGGATCAGTGAGGGCCTCAACAGCGCCAGGCTGAGGGTCTGGAGACGGTGAGGTGAGGGTGGGACGCCGCAAGCCCTGTGCCCCGCCGTCCTCATTGGCTGTTCGTAGGATGTCTCTGGGGTTGTGGGTACAGGGGACAAAGGTTTGTGGGGCAGTGGGTAGACCCAGAGCGTGTCTTGGGCCCGGGGTGTTCATTGCCCTCTGGAGATACACAGGGCTGCCCAGTCAGGAAGAAGCTGGAGGAACGGTGGCTGCTCTGCTCACAGGAGCTGCTCCCATGTGCCCTTGGGCTCTGTGCCCATTGGTAAGTGGGTACTGAACCCTGAACTGGCATCACAGGTGGGCTGGAAACCAGCAACAGGCGAGGTGCTCGTGTCCATGGCTGAAAGTGACCTAACCCAGGCCATTCTCTCTCGTGAGGAGGTGAGAAGTGGGTGGGTGCTGTCATGAGGGCTCAGATAAACTGGGCAGATGTTAGGGGCATCTGCTTGGTCACGGGGAAGGTAGTACACGGGCTTCTGAGCCACTGAGCCCGTGAAGGTTAAAGGGTGAAGCGCACAGAAAGGGGCTGTGTGGCCCGGTAGACAGCAGTGCCCGGTAAATGGTACTGGCGTTGTGTGCAGGAAAGAAGGGAAGGCATCACGCTGCTGAGATGGGTATGTTTTCTGGAGGGCTCTCCAGTGGGTGTGGGCTTGATTTCATCTGAGGTGAGATTTCTACACAATGAACTAGAGTGCCGTAATGGACTTCCAGCGGGGTGGAGCTGTCCATGACCCAGAACATGCCTCCTGTCCAGGACCTCAGCTCAGCCAGGCCCGGCCCTGCCCTGCCCTGCCCTTACAGGCCGCTAAAATTTAGTTCCTCCCGGGTTGGTTTTTCCTGGTCTAGATCTTGATGTGAATGAAGTCAGGCCTTCTCTACTCTTCGATAAGGCTTCTTCCACTCAGCTCATGTCTGTGTGAGATTTGTCCATGTATGTGCAGCCATTCTACCTTTTTTTCTTTGAAGGATTGTACACTCTTAAAAACTGTTAGTGGAGTAACATTTTCATCTAAAGGTGAGTTTATTGAGATGGTACTCATCATAAGGCACATCTGTGTAGAGACTGTAGGTTTCAGATAATCCCGTCCGTAAAGAGCACCTCATTCACCAGTTGGCTAAGTGTACCCCCAAAGTAGGCCTTGCTAGTTTGGGTGGGGCTGGATCTTCCAGTGTGGTTGCTTTATGGGAGGGAGGACAGGGGCCTCTGGTGCCTCCAGAGGCTCATGGGTTTAGCTCCCCTTGGTGTTGCCAGTAGTTGAAAGGCATCTCAGTTTTGTGCTGTCTGGAAAGGGGGCTGTGCCTCAGATTTTTCCTGTAGTATGGGGTGGGGAGGGGAGAGGAGGGTCAGCCACTGTGTTGCCCTCTCCACGGGACAAGGATATTGACCATTCCATCACCAAGGCCATCTAATAGTGGGCCTGGGAAGGTATCCAGACATTTTGTTCTACCCTATCTTTGTTCAAGGTGAGAGCCCGTCCTTGCCTTCTGAGGTTGGTCCTTATGGGGTCCATCCACAGGGGATCTGGAGCTGGGGGTTTCCTAACCAGGGTCCCAGTTTCTGTGCCACCCTTCTTTGTACCTTCCCTGGGTCCTTTGAAAGTTTTGTGCCTGTGAAAGGGTAGGTCAGTGATGATGAGCCTTTAAAGTTTTCAGTGATACAGCCCACTGAGGCATGCATGCCGTAGTTCACCACCCCTAGGCTAAGTCATAGCCCTGCAGGTGCATCTGTTCAGCCTTGAGCGCCCAGTCTTGCTGTTCCACTGGTTCGGTCCCGGGTATCCTAGGAGCCAGTGCTCTGGGCCAGCAGTGGTGTGGGACTGAACTTGCTCTCCTTGGGCTGACAGCCACATTGTTTGGGTTTCCTTACAGTGGCTGCTGGGTAGCAGCCTGTGTCCTCATCCCTAGTGCCTGCCAGGTTTGAGGACTGGCCTCTGTATGGAGCTTTACCCTACGAGCACCCACAACCATGTTTCTGGGTCCTTGGCTCTCCCCCAGGCAGGGTCTCTCCAGGGTAGGTGCCTGGTAGAGAGTCGGTAGGGTAGAGATCTCTGGCTGACTTGTCATTGGGGTTAGGAAGAAAAGAGCAGTGCTTTGTAGACTGCAGGGGATGGCAGGGTTGGGTGTGGGCCCTTGAGGCGAGGATAGATTTTCACTGTAGGCAGTACTTGTGGAGGACTCTCCCACCCCTGAGGTCCTCGGGCCACCCTGAATTCTTCTCTACCATTCATTCTCTGGTGTACAGTAGCCTGTCAGACCTGTCAGGGGTGGGTAACCACTGGTTGCAGGGTCTGTGGGCGCTGAGGCAGAAGTCACTGCGTGATCCAGGTTGTGAGGGGAGTGAGGCAGGGAGCAGGTGGGTCGGCTCAGGCTTCCCGGTGGGCGATCGGCTGGCTCACGCACCACCTGTGACTTCCGTGGGTCCTTCGGGGCTGTCCTCACCGGTGTTCTGGTGACCTCTGCACCCTTCCAAGGCCGGGCTTCTGCTCTATCTTTTGACAAACTTTTACCTACTCTTGGGTAAGGAGACCCAGGCCTGGTCCTCATTAAATTTGTTTGGAGCTCTTGGTTCTGTACCACCAGAGCTGGTTTTGCTGCCCTTGGGGACTTTGGTGGAATCCTGAGCCAACCATATGCCCCTCTTTCCACCCCTACCCACCAGCCCCCATCCTGCTCACACTCCTGCGCCATCAGAGGGAAGCTGGGCCAAGGGCTGGAGAGACAGCTGGCAGCCTGAAGCTGGGGCCTCAGCCTCAGGCCTGCACCCGGGTCTGGTCACATTCCTGAGGGACCTGCTGAGCCTCCCTGGCCCTGGGGGTTGGGTGGAGGAGGGGTGGGCAAGGATGGGTTCCAGGCTGCGGTGGCCCCTCCCCCACCCCGCTCCATTCCAAGGAATCCCAGGCTGACTCGAGTGGGGTGCAGAGACCCAGAGCCCTAAGGGCCCTCTCGTGGAGCACCTAGAGCTCTGGGAAAGAAGGGCCCTTGCTCATCTGGCAGCAGCTGCCAGCTGCTTTGGCGGGCTGGTATTGAAAGGCCAGCCTGCAGCTGGGGCAAGCCTTCGGGCGGTGAAACCTCCAGAGAGGGGAGGCCATGTGGTCAGGCTGGGCAGGAGGGGGCTGGGCCCTCTGGGGAGGAGAAGATCTGGGAGGGAAGGAGGCATGGAAGCTAGAGGCGGTTGAGACTGGTTCTTATAAATAGCCTTTGCACAAGTGGCTCCAATTTTGACCTTTTGTTATGTAAATGGGCCAGCCTGAGGAGGGTCTGCGTGGGCCTCCTGCCACCTCTCTGCAGCCTGGCTGGAATTGTGTGCCTGCCACCAGTACCCCCAGCCTAGGTGGCCCCTGGGGAGCCCTAAATCTCCAGAGCATATGTCGGGAAAGTAGTGAATGCCCTCTCCGCTTTTCAGATCTGCTCCCGGGCTCCTCATCCTTCCTTGCCTTTGGGTGTGACTGTAGGGCACTGTGGCCACTGTCTCTTGCTTGGCAGCCCCTACGGATTCTACACCATATAGAGTCCCTGACCTTTCTGGGAGTGAGGGATCCAGGGCCACCAGTTGCCTCTCTTTCATAGTCCCCTCTTCCTCCCTCTCGATGATGCCTGTCTGAGCAACCAACCAACCATCTGTCTTCTCCCCAGGTGACCAGGCATTGATGCACCCCCAGGAAGCCCACGCACTCGAGGAGGCTGTCCCCTCTGGCTGCTGCTCACATGGTTTCTGGGCCCCTGGCACTCCGGTAGGCCGAGGGGGAGCCCTGGGGGAGGGAGGATGGCTGTCTGCTCCTGTCCCTTGGGCCCTCTGGGTAGTGTGTGCAGCTCTGGCCTGGCCAGTGATCCTCTGTGTGTGCAGTACTGGGTGGTGTAGAGGAAGCAGCCCCTCTGTTAAGCAGGGCATTGTGCAGGATAAGAGGAAGAGCAGGGAAATACTCAGTGGGCCTTGGAAAGATGGAAATGGCCCTTCCAGGGCAGAAGGACCAAGGCTGTGGTCAGAGGTGCCCAGGACAGTACATAAGGCCAACCTTAGTACCAAGCAACTCCCAGTGGAGGGAAACAGCACCACCAGCCCCATCTCTAACCCCTTATCGCAAAGGAGGAGATGGGGTCCGTAGCCGGGGAGGGCATGTCTCTGCCCGAGTGGCCACCTGAGCCCGGCCTGGCCACAGGCTTCCACGGGACAGGGGTCCATGGACACGGGCACTTTCTCCACTGGTTTATGGCTGCTGGCAATGGAGCAGTAGAGCCCATAACATGAAGCTGTGATTTCTGTTCCCTCCAGCCTCTCTGGCAGTTCCCATAAGCATCTCTGTCCCCTCCCACTCAGGGCCCACTCTCTGGAAGTCGTTGAACCTGCTCCAAACCTCATTACCACGGGGACCTCCTACCTTTCCCCCAGGGTGGCAGAGCAGAGTCTTGGAGGGGATTGTGTCCACCGTACCCTGCTTTCCTTTCCCACCACACAGATGTTTTCCCCAGCCCCTTGTCTGCTCTTGTTTGTAGACAGATGGAGAAACCTGGTATTGCATGTACCCCAGAGTTCCAGAGCTCACTGTCAGTGAACATGGGTAGGACACACACTAAAAGCTAGCACTCAGAGCCGGGCGTGGTGGCTCACACCTGTAATCCCAGCACTTGGGAGGCTGAGGCAGGAGGATCACTGTGAGTTCAAGACCAGCCTGGGCTACGCAGTGAGTTCCAGGTCAGTCTCAACTACATAGTGAGGCCCTGTCTCAAAAAAACAAAAAAAAGCTAGCACTCAGAGCTTCACAGCAAACACCTGATATACCTGCTGCTTGCTCTGGGGGAGGACTTGGCTAAGCCAGGCCAGGCTAAGCAGCTTAGGAAGATGCTCAAAGGCTGAATATTTCAGGAACTAACCGTCTTCCACTCCTTGTGCCTCACTGGCTTTGTAGGCACAAAGAACCCAAGATGTGCCTTCCATGCTGGGGCCCAGAACAGTGGGTCACCTGGTTCCCCACACTTGGCAAGGGGGCAAGCCAAGGGCAGAAGAACCAATGGGCCCATAGTAGGCCAGGTGACCCCCTCCTCACTACCCCTGCACCAGCAGGCTAGTGAGTTCCTGTGGAGACCAAAGGCATTTATGTGTTTACACACACACACAAACTGGGGATTGAAGCCAGGGCTTTCACGTTGAGCTACATCCCCAGCCATTTTTTAAATTTTGAAACAGGGTCTTGTTAAATTTTCTAGGCTGTGCTACAATTTGTGATCCTCCTGCCTCAGCCTCTCAGAGTGCTGGGATTATAGGTTTGCACTACCGCGCCTGGATTATTACATAGTGATCTCTGTTATCATCTGTGTCAGCCTTGCAGGCAGGGGCCAGCTGGCAGGCTCCCCCAGACTCAGATGGTGGCTGCTTTTCCTAGAAAGGGTGTAAGGCTAAGGTTGTTTGAGAGGTACCCCAGTGGAGAGCAGAGGTTGCCAACCGGAGGCCAGCTAATGATGTGGCCAATATAATATTTGTAAAAAGAACTTTCTTTTCTTTTCTGTTGTTGTTGTTGTTGTTTTCTTTGGGGGGAGGCTGTTGGGGATCGAACTTGGGTCCTTGTGCTTGTGAGGCAGGTGGCAGAAGCACTGAGCTAAATTCCTGGCCCAAGAACTTTCTTTTAGCATAGAGAGATTATACATGAATATCTGGATTTCAGGTTTGTCTGGAAAGCTAGGAAGACCAACCTGTGAGTCTGCTCGCCTAGGCAGGACCAGTCAAGGGCTCCTGTACCCCTAGAAGGGCCTCTGCTGTTCGAATTCCATAGCCACCTGCTGCTTATTTTGAATTCCTGCTTGTCCCTGTGGGCTACTTTGGTGTGTACCTGGCATGTAAAGTCATTTCAGACCCCAGTTTGCTCAGCACCTTCATTTTCTCCATAGTGCAGATTGGTGGGAGGGTTGCTTTGTTTTTTGCCAAACGGCTTGAGTCCTTGGTGAGGTGATGCCCTCGCCCTCACAGCGCCGGTACCGTGTAGACTCTTCCCTGGGGGGATAGGACTGAGCCTGGTTCCATTCCCAGGTCAGTATAGGGGCCCCTTTGGGTGCTACAGAGAACTGTGCCCTGCCCTAGGGCCCCGGCACTAGTTTAACCTCTCTGCCTGTTCTTGCCTGCAGGTGGTACGCGTGGGCAGGGTGTGGGGACATGGGGCCCGACATGGAGCTGCCCAGTCACTCGAAACAGCTCCTGCTGCAGCTGAACCAGCAGAGGACCAAGGGCTTCCTATGTGATGTCATCATCATGGTGGAGAACTCCATCTTCCGGGCCCACAAGAATGTCTTGGCTGCCAGCAGCATTTACTTCAAGTCCCTGGTCCTGCACGACAACCTCATCAACCTGGACACAGACATGGTCAGCTCCACGGTGTTCCAACAGATCTTGGACTTCATCTACACCGGCAAGCTGCTGCCCAGCGACCATCCTGCCGAGCCCAACTTCAGCACTCTCCTCACTGCCGCCAGCTACCTCCAGCTGCCTGAATTGGCAGCCCTCTGCCGCCGCAAACTCAAGCGGGCTGGTAAGCCCTTTGGCTCTGGACGGGTGGGAGCCACCGGCATGGGGCGGCCACCCCGCAGCCAGCGACTGTCCACCACCTCTGTCATTCAGGCTCGGTATCCGGGGCTCGTGGACGGACACAAGGGGGCCCATGCACCCCAGGAGCTTCCCCCAGCCAAAGGCTCCGATGATGAGCTCTTCCTCAGTGGCTCCACCCAGGAGAGCACGCACAGCCTGGGCCTGGGGGTCTGTCCCGCCGGCGGCGAGATGGGCCTGGGGGGCTGTGGCAGCAGCACCAATGGGAGCAGTGGGGGCTGTGAGCAAGAGCTAGGCCTGGACCTGTCCAAGAAGAGCCCGCCCCTGCCTACCACCATCCCCGGCCCCCACCTGACCCCCGATGACCCAGCCCAGCTGAGTGACAGTCAGCACGGCTCACCCCCCTTGCCCTCTGCCCTGCCTGTTGCCAACAGTGCCTCTTACACTGATCTGGGTGGCACCCCTGATGAGCCTCTGGATTTGGATGGAGCCGAAGACAACCCCCTGAGCCTGCTGGAGGGGCCCGGCGGGCAGCCTCGGAAGAGCCTCCGGCACTCGGCCCGGAAGAAGGAATGGAGCAAGAAGGAGCCTGTGGCCGGCTCCCCCTTTGAGCGGAGAGAAGCTGGGCCCAAGGGCCCCTGCTCTGGAGAGGAGGGCGAGGGGCTCGGGGACAGGGTTCCCAATGGCATCTTGGCTGCCAGCGTCGGTGGGGGCGGCCCCAGCGTGCCCTATGGGGAGACTGCGTATCCCTGCAAAGGAGAGGATGAGAATGGCAAGGACGGCAGCGAGGACAGCGGGCAGAGCGGGAGCGAGGGCGGCAGCGGCCACGCGGGCGCGCACTACATGTACCGGCAAGAGGGCTACGAGACGGTGTCATACGGGGACAACCTGTACGTGTGCATTCCCTGCGCCAAAGGGTTCCCCAGCTCCGAGCAGCTCAACGCCCACGTGGAGACGCACACGGAGGAAGAGTTGTTCATCAAGGAGGAGGGAGCCTATGAGACCGGAAGCGGGGGCACCAAGGAGGAGGCTGAGGACCTGTCGGCGCCCAGCGCAGCCTATGCGGCGGAGGCTCGGCCCTTCAAGTGCTCCATCTGTGAGAAGACCTACAAGGACCCGGCCACTCTGAGGCAGCACGAGAAGTCGCACTGGCTGACGCGGCCCTATCCCTGTGAGGTCTGCGGGAAGATGTTCACACAGCGCGGCACCATGACGCGCCACAAGCGGAGCCACATGGGCCTGAAGCCCTTTGCCTGCAACGAGTGTGGCATGCGCTTCACCCGCCAGTACCGCCTCACCGAGCACATGCGTGTGCACTCCGGCGAGAAGCCTTATGAGTGCCAGCTCTGCGGGGGCAAGTTCACCCAGCAGCGCAACCTGATCAGCCACCTGCGCATGCACACCTCCCCCTCCTAGAAGCCAAAGACCCGTGGACACCCTCAGACTCGCCACCCGGGAGCCCACAGGAAGAGAAGCAAGGCGGCACGGCGGGAGGGACCAGAGCCCAGGGTCCAGCTGTAGGCGCCTGGTGGCCCCTCTGGACCAGCCTCCCCACACTCAGAGCTTTAATCAACAGTCTGTACCAAGAGAAGCCAAGAGGAGGGAGGCCGGAGGGCCCACCCCTGCGCATGTGGTGCTGGTGACCGCTCTACCTCCCCATCCCGCCCAGGGTCCCCGCTCCCTGCAGGGGCTGCCGCAGAGCTGGTGGGAGTGGGTCACACGGGTCTCACTGGGACCTGGGCCCTTTCCTGCAGGCTGGGCTGGGGAAGGGGAAGGGTGGAGGGGGTGCCCCCTCCATGCTGGTGAGGGACGGGGCTGCCTGTGGCCAAGGGTGGTATCTGGAGCAGGCCCCTACCCGGCAGGGACCGTGTCTGTGTGTGTGCACGTGTGCTTGTGTCTGTGTGGGTGTGCGCGACCCCAGCTCTGAGAGGAGCAGGTGTTGGGGGGAGAGCTCCTTCCCTCCTTGAGCCAGGGTGGCACTGCTCACTGGCGCTGGGACAGTCAGGGTGACCCCACCGCCTACCTCTACAACTAAAGAGCCCTCTGGGCCTGTGTTGCTGTTATTCCTACTGATCTGTTCCTTTTCTGTTGTTACTCTGTTTCGTTTCATTTTGTTTTCCTTTTTGAATTCTGATTTTTAAACCAAAACAAACCATAGTTTATTTTCTTCCTGCCTCTTCAGGGCTGAGCCTGGGTCTGCAGACTGAATGTAACCGGGCAGCTGCCTCTCCCTGTCGTCCCCCCAGCTCTGGCAGCTGCCGTGGGGTGCAGCAGTAAGCCCACCTCTCCAGGCCCAGAAGCCCTCCTTGCCCAAAGGCTTCCGTGGTCCCCAGCCTTGCCTGGGCCACCTCAGGAGAGCGTGCGTTTCCTGTAGTTTCCGAGGAATATTCTTTGTCTAGAGGTACTTGTTTTTTTTGTTTTTTTGTTCTAAGGGAGAAAGCCCCGTGTAAGGTTTGTGGGACTGTTGGAGCTGGAAGGTCTGGGGGTGGGGGGAGGCTGGACTCAACGCCAGGATCATTGGTACTTGCAGTTTTCATTTTTGTGTGTGTGGGCAAGTGTGTTGTGTGTGCTGTGAGTATGGACAGATGTTTCGCTTTCCTTCCTCACTGAATAAGGTGGAGAGACTTCTGACCTTTTGCTACCTCTTGAATCCGCGGAAACAGTATGTTGTTGACAGGCAGTTGAGGCCTAGATGCTTTTGTTTTCCTCTGGGGGGAGTGAGCCCGGCTCGGGCTGGCCTGAGCACCCTCCTGGGTCGGACGCTGTCCTCGGGGCGCCTGCTGCTCGCCGAGCCGGGTGAGAGTTGAGAGACCCTGCTGTGGGGCAGGCTAAGGGGCAGGTACAGGGCATCCAAGCAAGAAAAGCTAGGAGGGGAAGGGGACAGGTCTCAGCAGCTCCCCGCCGGGGCCGGGATGAGGTGGAAGTGAGCCCCTCCCATCCTGTCCCCTCACCTTGAGCTTAGAGCAGTAGCCTCCACCTAGCCAGTGAGGTGTCAGGAGGAGGTGACCAAAGCAAGGGGAGCGAGGATCGGCACCCCTGAGCAGGCCTGGCCCCCAGCCACCCTGGTAAGAGTCTGGCCGCCACGCATAGGCTCAGTTTTGTTGCCTCTTAACCATGGCCTTCTCGGTCAGCTTCAGTACTTGCAAGGGCCTCCGCTGGGCTCCAGGCCAGACCAAGGTTGCCATGCTTGGTCCCAGTGTCCTCAGCCAACTGGAGCTGCAGGGCTGGGCCAACAGGCTTTATCTTCTTCATTCTGTTTCATGTTTTTCTTTTCTTTTTTCCTTTCGATTTTAAGTTCAGACCAAAAAGCTCTAGAGTCATCCCTTACCCCCAGCCCTCCAAAGACCGTCCAGCTGAAAACAGCCTGAGTTCAGGGACCTGAGTGGTGAACGGTGTGTTCTTGGGAGTGAGGGACCTCTGGCCACAGAGGAGGGTTCCTGGCCAAGCCCTCTGAGTGGCGTCCCCAGCTGGCCACTCTTCCCTTTGGGTGGGATACGCAAAGAACTGGATCCTGGGTCTCTGTTCCAACAAGGCAGGCCGAGCACCTGGCGGAGGAGACTCCTGGGCTCCACTGCACCCGGTGCGGGGGCTGAGCTGTGCCAGGCCCCCTGCTCTCTGACCCCACCCCACCCATCAGCACTTAAGCCACATGACACAAAGTCTGTACCGCACGGGAATTGTGCACACGCCTGGCCTCCCGGGCTGTGGGCAGCCACATCTGTGAGGTGACTCAAAAGTAGGTGATTCCTCTGCAGAACTTCAGGGACTGGGAGCAAAGCCCCCTTACTCAACGACGTCTGTGCGACATAGTATTGTACCCACCTTAGTATTGTACCAAGCCTTTTCTGTATTTTAATGAGAAAGCAAAACACTAGTTTCCTATTTAAGATTTTAAGGGTTTACGGGGTGGGGTGGGGTTGACACAACACTTGGTTTTGTTTTCCTTTTCCTTTGACTCCATGTCTGGTGCGTGCTTGAGAGAGTGTGTGTACAGATGTTAAGAGCCTCACAAGGAAATTAGGCCGGAGGAGGCCAAGGCGGCTTTCAGTTCTCCTCTTTAGTCACTTAATTCCTGAATGTTCGGAGAAACAGGAAACAGAATAGGAGATATCATATAGGAAAAAAGATAAAAAACAAAAGAATAAAAAAACAAAAAAAGGGGGAAAAAAAAAAAAGAAAGCTCATACCCAAATTCACAAAACCTATTTTTTAAACCAAAGCACATTTTGAATGAGTATGGAACCTCAATGGGCTCAGAAAAAGATACTAATATATTTATCTCATTGTTTACATAAACTTCTACAGTTTCAGACCTCAGCAGCTGTAAGGCCAGTCCCAGGGAATCCTCACCTTCTGCTGGGAGGTCCTTCGAGTCGGCCCTGGAATGACTCACGGGCAGAGAGAGGTAGTCCTGGGTTCCAGGAACAGGCTTTATGCCTCCCTGGACTCACGTGAGCCCTCATCCCCATTCCTGGGACCTCTCCAAGCCCAGCTGGCACCAAAGAGCTTGGGCTGGTGCTGACCAGCCCCTGAGGCGTTGCTGACTGGACCTTTGTGGTCCTGACCAGCTGGTACAGGGTTGCGGTCAGCTCTGGCTCCAGGACCTGAGTCTGGGCTTGGGCCCCAGGTTGGAAGTGAGCTCCCCCTGCTCTGCCCGTGACTCTCTGGGGTGAGTTGATGTAAGGGTCTCCCTCAAGCCAAAAAGCCAGGACCTTTGCACAGCTCAGTCAACTCAGTGGGTCCCCCCACCCCAGGCAGCAGAAGGGGCTGACTGGGCCTGGTCCTTACCAACACAAGACGGTGCAAACACTCTTAACAGTGTTGTTTTTGTATCAATATGTTTGTGCAGTGATGAATGTATTTATTTCTCAGATTTGGGGCAAGTGAGCAGGTGTGTGGCAAGCTCGGCTCTTCCACTGCCCGCCCCCGCCTGACCGAGCCATAGCAAGGGCTCCTTCAGGATTGCAAAAAAGGAAAAAAGAAAAGATGAACCTTTAAGCAAATAATCTCAGAGACTCGCAGCATAGCCATATACCACAGCCTGTGACATGAACAATCTGGACCCGGACTGACTCCCGAACTCACTGAGTTGGGGGGACAGTTCCCGTCCACCACCGCTGGGGAAGCCGGGCTGCTGGCCCGCTGCCCCGCACCATCAGTATTCACCGGACCTCAGGCCCCTGTGCAGGAGTACGATCTAGCTGGGCCGGCGGGCGGGCAGATCCTTGCCCTCCTGTGGCTGTCCTGAGTAGGGGAGGCCTGGGCAGCTGGGAGGGTGGGACTCGGAAGCAGGTGTTACGTCCACTCTGTCCCCGGGGGCTCGGGGGACGGAAGCTGAAGGCACCAAATCTGGGAAGAGCAGACGGGTCCTCAGTCCTGCCGCGCCCCCTTAAAGGGACCAAAGTTCCGCTCTTCCCAGGAGTCACGTCACGCTGGAGCCCATGTTACTGAACCTGTGAATCGGATGCCAGGAACGAGGGAGGGGAGGGGCCTGACCGGAGCCTCAGTCTGACATTCCAAACCAGGGATGGGTGGGGGCTGTGGGACCGAGGCTGCCCAGGACCCCCTTCCTAGGATGCCCCCGGCTTCAGTCACCCTCTTTAATTTTCTACCAGGAACCCCTCCCCTACCTCACCTTGCTATTTATTGCTATAATTTATTGACCTCAAAGATGCTGCATAACAGACCTCATTTGGGACAGGGAGGGTCCCCAGGGCTCCCCCCCTCCACTTGGCAGGGCCCCGTGGGGCCAGGTGCTGAGGGGAGCCTCTCTGTGCCCAGCCCATCACTCGCTTCCCCCTGCCCCTCTGGGGCCCCCGGTTGGGCACCGGCCCACTTGCAAATACCTCGAGGGGAGGGGAGGGGTGGGTTTCTAGCTGTTTTGTTTCATTGGAACTGGAAGGGGGATCGTGTCCTGTGCCCTCCCAGAGAGGGGAGGGGCACTGGGATCGCACTCCTGTACTGGCCACCACCACCGTCACTCATCACATTGAGTTCACCTCCCTCAAGAATTCGGATAAATTCAGGTTAGAGCTGCAGGTACGCAGCTCTCCAGTGTCATAGAAAAGCAATTTACTGATGACTGATCTCTCCATTCAGAAGCGTGCAGTCTTAATGTACAGTGATGAGAAACTGTTATTTTATGATCTTTTCATTAAAAGCTTGATTGAAAACTATCTGGCGTGGGCCTTTGTTTTTCTGTGGCTATTCTCTGGCAGAGAAAGGGCTTCCAAGCTCTGGGAGGTTGGGCCTGAGACGGGCGCTTGCTCACCTGCCACTTTGCAGCACTCCGGTGGTGTCTGTGGGTCTTGGGCCAAGGAGCCAGCCCTTTGATGCTGCCAGCCCTGTGGGTTCCCCTGACCTGCTCTGGCAGGCTGTGCAGGAAGCAGCGGATAGTGGACAGTTCTGGTGGGGGTGGACCTGGCGTCGGGTGAGGAGGGAGGCCTAGGACGCCCTGGAGCAGCACGGTTGGGCCGCCTCACCTCCCTGAGGCGAAGGATGGTGTTCTCTCCAGGGGTCTCGGTGGTGGGTGGGGTTGGTACTCCCAGAGTGAGCAGACGAATCACAAAAGTGACTGCCAGGCTGGGATGGAGCTCAGTGGCGCTGTGCCTCCCTTGGAAGTGCGAAGTCCTGAGTTTGATCCCCGGTACTGAAAGGAAGAAGAGAATGCCTGGCCCCTCCGACCCCTGCCGAGACTGCTGACCGCTGGTGGCTCCTCCCATAGCTCTCGTTCCTTTGGGTCCGGGTCTCCTAGAGCTTGGGTGTTGCTGCTTTCCATCTCAGTAAGCTGTGTTCAGTTGTCTTGTTTTTTGGTTTTACCAAAGTTACTCCTGTAATTTAAGTGATCACATGGTTCTTAGGCTAGAAATTGCTGCTTTCCATCTCAGTAAGCTGTGTTCAGTTGATTGTTTTTTGGTTTTACCAAAGTTACTCCTGTAATTTAAGTGATCACATGGTTCTTAGGCTAGAGGCATCCACTGTCCTCATCACCCCATCCCATTTTGTAAAACTTTTAATTCAGTACTTCTGCATCTGTCTACGTTGCTGAGTACTGTTGATCCTGATTAGAGAAACTGGTGATGTAACTGGCCCGTCGATAGTCCTCACGTGTGTGGCTGCTGCCAAACCCATGACGTACTGGATCTCCATCTCATGTTTATACAACTCATTTTTCTTGCGTTTAATGTGGTTTTTTCAGTTGCTCGCTTTTACCTTTATCTTGTAGCACTGGGGATCAAACTAGGCCTTCCGCATACCTCCCAGGCCTCGGGTGGTCACTGTTCATTCTTGTTTCACACTGGAAATCGAGCCCCACGACACTACCACAGAGCTACGTCCCTGGCCCTTTTTGATATTGAGACAGGGTCCCACTGAATTGCCCAGATAGGGCCCCAGTTTATGATCTTCCTGCTTCAGCCTCCAGTGCTGGGACTACAGCTGTATGCCACAACTGTGATCGGAACCAGAACCTAGATTCCTTTACGTTCTAGCTCCGGTAGGCCTCCAGCACAGCTTGTCACAAGGACACTGTTTGCTCTGGTTCTTTGTGTGTATTTCATTTTTCCTGGAGCCTGCTAGCGTCTTGCACAGATTCGGGCTGGAGTTCTTTTGGCCTCTGTCCTGCATTAAAGCCCTGTCTTCTGGGTTTCCTATGTTCTTACTCCTGGGTTACATTCTTGGCTTGGTAGCATGCTTCCTTAAGTGCTATCCTGAGAGCACGCTGGAAATGTGCTTTGAGACTGCACATTAGAAATGCTTTTTCTGGGCGTGGTGGTGCACACCTGTAATCCCAGCACTCTGGAGGCTGAGGCAGGAGGATCGCTGTGAGTTTGAGACCAGCCTGGACTACATAGTGAGTTCCAAGGCAGTCAACCACGTAGTGAGACCTTGTCTCAAAAAACCAAAAAAAAAAAAAAAAAAGCTTTTAAGCTATGTGGGCTTGATGGCTTGGTTATTGAAGTATAGGTTGGATGGCCTTTTCCCGCTGATTTTGAAGGCTTTGCACCCATGGCTTTATCTTCCAACTTGATAAATTCAGCTCCTGGAAGCTTTAGGGATCTTCAGTTTGATTTACATGGCCTCTCCACTCACCGATCTGGTACTTGAAGTGTTGGTTTCATACCAGAGACTCAGTGCCTTTAGGAAACTCACACTGATTTCCAAAGGGTCTCACCTAATTAGTTTTTATTTCCTAGAGCTTTGTCTTCTGGGTACTACTTAAATATAATATTTTTTCCCCATGGATGTAATTCTAAGGATATTTTAATTTTTGAACATTTTCTTCTTTTGTTTTCTGAGACATGGTCTTGGTGTTGGTTCAGGCTGGCCTTGAACTTGTGCCAGTCCTCCCACCTCAGGCCGTCGTATGCTGGGATTACAGGCCCCCCTCCCCCAGTCTCACCATGTGGTTGAGGCTGGACTTCAACTCACAGCGATCCTCCTGCCTCAGCCTCCCCAGTGCTGGGATTATAGGCGTGCGCCACCACGCCTGGTTTGATGAAGTTACTATTGATGGGGTATGTTCCCTGCTCCATATGCAGTTAGGATACATAACGTATGGCATCTTTACTGACCCCCTTTCCAGGTACGAGTAGACACACATGAGATCTAGGATCGATTGTCCTGGACTGTGGACCTGTGGCCCTTTGGCCTGAGTACCCCATCCTTCCTGTCCTGTCTCCCTGCCCCAGGCCAGCCTGGCTCCTCCCTCAGCTCCAGGACTGGGAATGGAAGGAGCTAGCTGCCCGGAGGCAGCAGGAAGCTGCACAGAGGATTGGGTGGACATGAGGGCTGGGGAAGGAAGGGCAGGTGCAGGCAGAGCTGCAGGACACAGGCTCCTCAGGGGACCAGGTTCTCAGGATAGTCACGGGTGTAGGAGGCTGGCCTGCTTGGGGGACCTGGCTGTCGGCACTGAGCAGCCCCTCAGGGTGGCGGGTAGAACTGCCCAGCCATAAGGAAACCCTGGGCACTGCTGAGAGCCCTACCGTGTGGCCGGCCGGTGGGACAAGCGCACGGGTGCCTTGAGCCTGCCCTGCGGCCTCTCAGGCTGCTCACCATAGACATCAGGGAAAGCACTGGGCATGGTAGCGCGTGCCATCTTAGCACTCAGGAGGCAGAGACAGGAGGATCACCATGAGTTCAAGGCCAGCCTGAACTACGGAACAGTTTGGCCCAAACGATAGTGGGATTAACCTAGTTTACTTCAGTTCCTCTTCTGGCCACAGGTAAGAACGCTGATTGCCCCTGTGAGCTTTCCTGGCATGAGAATAGGACTAGCACCTGAGGGGTTATCATTGCCCACTTCTGTGGCCCAGCTGTGTCCAGGTCACTTCAGAGGACTCCTGAACGTGTGCGTTTGTATGTTGCGTGCCAAGTCTTGTCTTGATGAAGAGACTGCGCTAACATGGTGCCTGACCTCGGACCCTACTACTGCAGCAGAGTCAGGCAAGAGGAATAAACACGGGGAGACACCAGCGTCCTTCACTGCGCCGAGGTCCTGCCTCCGACACTGACGGCCTAAGCGCGTGTACTTAACCCATCCCTGTGGACCCCAATTTTCAGGAGAAGATGGTGCAGAGACCTCCGTGCCGGCCTCCCGGGAAAGGGCACGGGGCGCTCCTCCAGAAGTTTGGCCAGATACGGTGGTGGCAGTTTGCAGTGTGCCAGGGAGAATGGTGTGCATCAAGTTTGGGGTGGAGTAGTCCGGCTGCCCCTGGAACCTCGCCGTGGCCAGAGAGACAGTGAGGGGCTGGGGTCAGGCCTGCGTCAGGCACCGGCAGAATCATGAAGGACCTTAAATGCCAAATCACAGCCAGACGTGGCGGTGCCTGTTGTTCCAGCGCGCAGAGTCTGAGGCAGGAGGATCACCGGTTCAAGACAAGTCTGAGCAGCTCAGACCCTGTCTCAAAAAGAAAGGGGAAAAAAAAAAAAGGCTGGGGATATAGCTCAGTGAAAGGCTCTTATATTTACTCTCTAGTGCTACCAAAGAGGAAAAAGAATCGCAAGTGGGCTTGAGCCAAAGGTAAAGGAGTGAACTGCGCCTTCGTGCTGCCGTCATAGCATTGCCGAGGGCCCTTGCTCTCGTGGGGCTGCACCGCGCCCTGTCTGTGCCTGCGCCTCACTCTGATCCACCAGGAGCAGCAGCAGAAGACCCGGCACAAGGAAGTGCTGCTTCCGTCCTGGGCAGGGGGACCAGGAGGCTGGCCCACGGAGGAGCTGTCCAGCAGCATCGCCCAGTGCACGGTGCCCCCCGGGACATGGCGCACCGTCCTTGGGTCCCTCCTCCTCCCTCCTGCTTATGCTGTGCAGGGCCTGTCGCTGTTGGGGCCCCGGGCCACAGCAGTCACGGAGCACCCGAGAGGTGGTTGCTGACCAGCCCCTAACCCTCGGCACAGGCGCACTGCTGGGGTAGGAGGCTTGCTCGGAGTCTGGCCCAGCAGGCGGAAGGGTGGAAAGTTCTGGGAAATAGGCAAGGGGTTGCCCGAGGCCCACGTGGGAGTCACCCGGCAGTGTCCTCCGGGCGCAAGACGCCAGCTGTCTGCCGTGCAGACAGCCTCGCCCGTGGACACCTAGAGAAGGGATGGATCTTCCACTGCCCTGCAGTCGGGCATAGCCGCTCCTGGAGACCGTGAGGGTAGAAGGCAGACATCCGGGGAAAGGACCGCAGCAGGTGCTCCAGTGGCCTAGGCAATGTGGATTCCCCCGCTTTTCTCTCTCCTAGAAGCTCAGGCCGGCTGAGGTCACTTCCTTCTTCCACTTGGTCATCGGGTTGTGCAGGCCGTTGCCGCTTCTCGTCCACGGATTGGCTGAAGCTTGAGGCACATGACTCGGTTCCAGCCCATAATACAAGGGAAGCAAGCTGAGGCTCTTCAGGGAGAGGTTTCCTCACCATAAAAGGAGACACAAGAGGGCTCCTTTTCCCTCTGGATATGATGGCTGGATCTGGGATGCCGTCTGTTTTCCTTGAGGGATGCCGGCCTGAGGAACCAGCAGTTCCACCCAGGCAGGTATTTCTTGCTTAGCACAGCGCCTGACACATAGTTGGGATCTAACACATAGACGCTAAAGGGATGAATAAGGGACAGAAGGGGGCCATTAATGCATTGCTGAGATCCTGAATTAACAAGCTCTAATTCCCTCCCTGAATTGGGCTGCCCTTCTCTCTCAGACTACAAATATTCCTTCTGCTTTTAGCCAATACAAGTTTATTATTTGCTGTCCAAA